GAATATTATGAACTTATTTTTCGTATTCTTGGTCGATCAATTAATGATAAAGAAATAAAAGTAAATTAAAAAGAAAATTGTCATCGAAAACAATTCTTTCAATAAAATAATTAGAGGAACGTCATCCGCTGTAATTTCACCGGATCAGCTGATTTTTTTGTATCAATGATAAAGGGGCAGTCTTTCCTAATTAATTTCTACGGGGGAATCGTTCGCGTTGATCGACAGTGTCTGAACTCGTGTTTCGCCAAATCGTAGTAGACTACCTACAAAGGGTTCGCTCAACATGGGCTCAGAAGTGCCTCTTTATCATTGATAAAAAAAATCAACGTGTTTGGTGAAACTACGGCAGAGATGTTCATTTTTTTTTCGGTTAACTGACTTTTAGATAAGTGAGAAAAACCGAAAATTCCGTACTTGACTGTACTTATCACTGTGAAGTATTTAGGCTTGATTGCCAGATAGACTTATATAACATGAACTCGAACTAATACGCTTGTGACACACGTTGATAGTAGACTTAGAATAGTTAAAAAGTTCTAGAAGATATCTTTGACATACTCTTGGAATATGTCGAAGTATGGAATTTTCGATTTTTTCTATCATCCTCTATCTACACAATTATCTGTAATAATGTTAGTACTTATTTTCATATCGAAAGATACAAAAGTTGAGAGTACTTCCTGTTCAGAGAAATCAAGATAATCTCAATACTCTCATCAATTATGATTATTAATGTAATCGAGTAAAGCAAATCGATATGTATTCAATCACATTCTTGAAGATACCTTTGATTGTTATGTTCTTAGAAACAAAATTATCGTAATACAGTTTTTCATCGGAACCTCAGATAGAATCAGTCTGAAATTCATACCGAAATTACACATCCTCTATCAGACCATAAGAGCAAAAAACATCAAAAAGATATACCAGTTCCATCTCTGATCGTAACAATTAATAGTCATTCATTATATTGATTGTTTGCTTTTCATTCAACAATAGACTTTAAGAAAAATGATGTAACGAAAAAAAAAAAAAGATATTCATTTTGGATTATACTAAACTTTTTCTAGGAACTTCTCTTGGCCTATTTGGCAAATATGTCAAATGAATCTGCACTTATTCGTCGTTCATCAGCTGCTTGTATTATTATTATATGTCGTTATTCTCGTTATCCTATGGTTATAGCACGTTTTCTAATGACAAATGCCATTGGTAAATTTTCTTTCTAATAATAATAATAATAATAATAATTTCAATTAATTATAATTTTCTTTTTTATTCTAATAGATCAATTACTTGAACATCATAATGAAAATGATAGTACACGTTTAATAATTGGTTATCTTGGTTTAATAAAAAATCTTATTCAATTACTTGGTATAAATATTGAAGAATTTCAATCATCATCAATCAATATTCAACAACCATTAAATACAAGTAAAAATATTGATTCTAATGAACAATATCTTCCAATTAGTATTCGACAAATAATTGAAGTATTAGGAAAAATAATAATAATTTTTTTTTTTCAATGCAAATTTTGTTGTTTTTTTTAGTGCGTTGATATAGTATGTTATATTTGTTTACAACATAATGATCATAATGTTGTATCAAGTTCATTGGAAACACTTGAAATTATACTTAAATATTCAAATTTATTTGATTTTGATCAATTATTAATTTCAACTCAAACTGGATCTATAGAAGAAACTCGTGTTAGTCAAGGATTAAAAACAAGTAAATATCAAAACAAAAAAAAAAAACAGTTTTTCTTTTTTTTTTATTTATGTTTTTTATTCAAAAAGCTTATCCAACATATCAACGTTCATTTATTGAAATTAATGAACAACAAGACATTTTATTAAATAAAATGAATGATGAATTAGATTCAACATCAACAATTAATAATGAAAAACGAACATCAGCTGCTAAATTTGTTGAACAACTTATTTCAAAGTATACAAAAAAAAAATAAATACATTTATATTCAGATTTGAAAAAGAAAAATTTTTATTTTTTAAATTAGATATATACTTAATATGGATGGTACAATAAAAAGTGATGATGAATCACGTGTTAGTATTAAATGTGCTACACTAACATGTCTTTCATATTTATCAACAATTGATCCATTTGCATTTTTTGATTCATTTGATTATCCAACTGAAAGTAAGTTGAATCTTTATTTGAGTTTTTTTTTTCTTTAAGTTTCAGTTCCGTAAAATAGATTTATTTTATAATCCGATATTATTTTCAATGTCGAAACAATGCATAGATATGAATGGTAGCTATGCTTTTGGTTGAAAGTATTTCCCTGGCTATGGAGGACACCCTTAAATTAGTGGCATAACCAGAATTTTAACAGTAGGAGGGTTCAGGTGAGCGGGCTCTATGTGGTGGAGGGGCTTATGGCAGAGTTTAGCTGGCGTGGCTTCGATCGGTTAAGGTCTTAAAGCTTCAGTAGAAAGCTTACGAGTGAGCCTCTTCAGATTTTCCCTCGTCAGTAGAGTTCGACGGTTCTAAAAATTACCTGGAACTGTTATAACATCAGATAGATAGGAAAATTTTCAATATATTTTGAGAAATTTTCACTATTGAATTGTTGAGATTAAAGACGCCATATATTTCAGTACTAAAATAGAACAAGATGATCCATGTATACTGGAATTTTTAATCACAAGAATGACAACTCTATTCGTCAGCCACGTCCCTCATTTAGTTACACCACTACTTCAAACGTTTGGCTACGGGCAAAATCAATTAACTTTTGTATTTCATAACAATCTTATATAGAAAAATCGGCGGGTCAGCAAGAGTGTCGAGTGTCCCGCGAAACTTTCGACGAAAAATATGCAATGCGAAATGAATGATAGATTAGAACTTTGTCAGCCTAGAAAAAAAATTGATCCTATATATAGAGTGATCGAGTAGAGTATTATACTCAATAGATTCGTATGTGAAAGCTTTAAGATCGATAGACTTTATTTGTACATCTATGCTTCAGAGATTAATCACACAATAGTCCTGCACCGGATCCGAACGTTTGGGTTCGATCATTTTCAATTAATTGATAAAACGAAGGATTTCAAGCTTGACACTTGTAATTGAATAAATGATCCAAAATCCAAAGGTCTAAAGACATCCTAAAAAAAATAGTCAACAATCTTCAGAAACACTCGAACTCGAAATTAACTGAAGCTTAAAGTGGTTCCATGATTATCCATATACCTCAAGGGAACACTAAGTCAGAATTCGAGTTTTGTACATGTTTAGTATACAACAAACGTTTGTTTTTCAGTACGATATCAGTCTTTAAAGATTTCCGATTAAATATACTTTGTTGCTGGTATCGAATTCTCTGTCTGCATAATTTGTAATACATTAAAATCTATCGTTATTAGATATCTATTGATCGAACATCGAGATATCTTTTTTTTTACTTTGTTTTTTCTTTAAGTTATTACATATCTTTTATCTTTACGTGAACATGGTGATCCACATTTACGTGGTGCATGTGCAAATTTACTTGCTAAAGTAATTCAAACAACAGTTCATCTTTTAACAATATCACCACCAATATCATCATTATCAAATTCGTTTAATAATTCTTTTATTAATCAATGTTCACTTGTATCAATTGATTCACAAGAAAGTTCAAGATTAGGTTAGAATATTAAATTTTTCTTTTTTTTTTCTTTTGATAATCAATATTTTATTGTTCTTGTAAAGATATTCAATTAGGTATATTAGCTGAATTACTTTCTACATTTCGATTATGTCTTAATGATAATAATGCGCGTGTTATACATGTTTCTTTAAATGCTTTACGAACATTATTACCCGTTTTATTAACTAATAGTCATGCATTAACAATAATAGCAATTGAATTATTAGAAGATTCTATTCAACATAGTACAAGTTCTTATGTTCTTGCTAAAGTAGACAAGAAAAAAACTGTTTTTGATTATAATAAATAAATTTCTTTTTTTTGTATAAAATAGGTTGCTCTAGCTCAACTTATTGGTGAAATTGATTTTCGAATATTAACTTATCTTGAACAACAACAACAATTAAAAAAAACAGTAAATTTTTAAATAGAAATAATTATATAGACGAAAAAACAATAAATACTTGTTTTTTTTGTTTCACTTTCATTTAGAATCGATCATGGCTTGATCGTTGTATTGATATTATTCTTCAATTTCTTACTGATGAAGATACACGTGTTCGTCAAGTAGCTGCTTCGACTTTTGCCAAGTATGTAGATAGTAGAGATGTTAACTGGGAATTTTTTTTTCCGAATGATTCGATCTCAGTTCATTGTATTGGAAGAATGAACTAGAAAATTCGTCTCTTCTTAATTGTTGAGATAAATCTTAATTCATCTTTTAGACCTTATTGGGACTAGAGAGAGCCTAAAAAAAAGATTTGTGCTAATCGGGTTATTTCTTCTTGAGTTTAGGTCATTTTAGTGATTTTTTTTCAATAAAATACCATTGTCTCACGCATATAATCTTCGAAATTCAAACTTTACACAAATAAAACTCTCAATAGAATTAATTCATTGTAAAAATATCAGATTTTCTGGTAGTCTCTATGCTGACGAAGGTAGATCCCCAAGTAGGACTCGCCAATTGAACTAATATTTTATCCGTAAGGAGGTTCTGGTGAGACTAGTAAAAGTCTAGAACAGTTCATCTCCATATGCTATCCTTCTCAAGTTATTACAATTTTACTGGATTTGTCATTGGTGGCAAGATATTTATAGAAAAAATTGAATTACGAAATTTCAATCTGAAATTTTGCCCAACGGTAGGCCTTGTGTCATGTAACAGTCATGTAATTTTGAAAATAATCTGAAACAGTCTACAGACGCTTTCGTGAAAAACTCACTAAAATGCTTCAGACTCTCTAACCATGTGATTCACACGGGATAAAAACCGTCAGTAGACCATTCGATGTAACATACTTGAATGCTCGACTATCCTCTGATCCCTATTTTAACCCGTTTACAGATAGTTGTTGTACTGACTGGCAATCTACTGCAAGTATACCATCGTTTCTTATGGGTTAAAGTCCGACTCGGATCGCAAGAATTTGATCTATGTGGGACTTTGTTATGAGTATCACGATATATCGGTGGTAGTGTGAATGAACGTGCAACATAGACAATCTTAATCGAACCTATGTAACGGATTAAGATTTGTCTCAAAAGCGATAATTTAAATTAAACTTTAAAGCAACTGTATCTCATACATTGATTTCTTTGTTAGAAAAAAATTCAGATTTAGATTTTCTTGAATTAACCATAGACACATTTCCATCTTATCCTTATCATAATTTTCATAGATAATCTCTATGAAAAAATGAATATAACTATTTGTTGGTTTGTATTTTGATTTTAGGTTTGTTGATCACAGTTCATTTTTACCTTGTCAATGGCCAATACATTATTTACTTAAATGGATTAATTCTTCTTGTCAATGGATACAAAAAATTCATCATTCATTACAACAATCAAATACTTCTGTAATAATATCGAATGATGAAGTACAATGTGAAACAATATCATGTTTATCAACTTTAATATTTGATCGTTTAGCTCAAGCATCAACTCGAATACAAATTGTTTGTTTTTAATTTTGTTTTGTCTTTAAATATATATATATTTGTTTTGTTTAGGTTGGGTGTTTAGAAGGTATTTGTGCACTTTTAAATGTTCTAACACCAAAAACAATTCGATCATTTTTTCATAATCAATATGATGAACTTCGTTTACTTATACATTTTTTTAAACATCCATTTATATTACATGATCTTAATAATTTACAATTATTACTCGATATTCTCAATTTAATTTTTTCAAGTAAAGAGAAAAACAAATTTTTATTATATTTTTTGAATTTTGTGTTCTTTTTGAAGATTTATCGAATAGTACCAATGATATGGGTGATATTCAATCAGCAGAAAAAGTTTTTCATTTTTTAATCAAGTAAAAGCATTTTGAAAAAAAAAAAGAACACATCTATAAAAATGTTTTAATTTTATATATATATTTTTGTTTTTCTATTCATAGAATTTTATCTATATTTGCTTGTGTTGTTGACGATACAAGTCCACCAAATCCACAAACATCAAAAATAAATTTTTCACCTATTCCTGCATCACCTCAACAAATTAAAAAACGATTTGAAAGTAGCACTAATGATTCAAGTAATTTGAAAATTTAACTATTTTATTTACAAAAGACACTAAAAAAGCTTTTGTTTTTCGTTAGCCCTCTGAAGAAATATTCAAAGGCTGGTTCTAATGTTGCTTTTCAAAGTATCATCCTTCATTAGCAATGACACTAGTGCATTCAATTAGAATAGATCATTTTTTATGTGAGAATGGTTAAGAACTGCTTAAAACATGTCTAACATTGAATTGCTGCATTGAGATAACTGAGTCAGATCATTTTGAACCTAAAAACAAATGTCATCATTCAACTCAGTATGGTGATTGATCAAGGGTCGATTCACTGA